AATTGCCAACCCTTGAGCTAGACTATAGCAGCCATGTCCTCAGCTGTCACCACTCCTGGTCATTTAAACCCAGGAAGATATGGTCCCTTAAAGGAAATTTGTACCAACCCAGAAGAAGTAAGTGGGGATAAGGGAGGATGGGGACTGGAGCCGGAGGGGAAAGACTGTGGAAGGAGGGCACGGTAGAACGGATCAGGAGACGGAGGGCTAGTATAGGAGGAAGTTACGAGGACACTGTGCTTGTCAGAAGACTGGAATTGTTTTCCCCAGTAACGTTGTTTCACTTTGCCTCTTAAAAAACTGTGCAGCCTTATATTTTGCCAGATTGAAGAGATTATATGGAGAGTTATTTTAATAAAACATAATCATGCAAGAGGAAACAGCACCTCAGGTTTTTCAGCTGGGAGGCCACATACAATTCAAATCAGAGCTGATGGCCCTCAGTGGGACTGGAACGACCTAAAGTGGGGAACGTAATCCACATCTCATGTAGCCTCCGGACCCCTCTCTCTGGCAACCTGATGATTAATGTGTAAACTAGAAAGACGTTTCATTGACTGCTTTCTAGTCCCGTGAGCACAAAGCAGTCGATAAATATTTATTGAATGTATTTTTCTAGGGTTTTGCAGCACTTGCTCAGCAATAACTTATAATCTAATAAGCAAGAATTGTTCAGGGCAGTGACAAACAAATATATAAATGTATGTTAACGGAATCCAAGCTACGAATGGGCAGTAGGAAAGAAGAAAAAGTGCTCTCATCTGTGGACAAAGTATCCAAACAATACTAGCTTTGGGGTAAATAAGAAAGAATCATGTCACACAAGCCCCAGAAGTGAGGATTGCAAGAGAGAGAGAGAGAGAAAAGGAGAAAAATAAAGGAGAGAGATTTATAAATGGCTGTATTTTGAACAAATAAAAATATACGCATTTTTAAAGGCCAATCTTTTCATTCTCTCTGGCTTTATATGAGTAATACTTTCATATGTCACTGAAACGGTTTCTACACTCAAATAACGGCAGAGAGTTAACTGAAATGGGCTCCCAGATTGCAATTTTTGCAGTAGAGATAAAATATGGCTCTCCGCCACCCATTTGGAGCTACAGCACCAATATACTGATGCAATCTTCTTTAAGCCCCAGTCACATTAGGTTCTGAATAGTCTATTGCCAGCTTAGGCATGGGGATGGGTGTTAGAGTACACTTATTTAAGACTGAGCATTTATCCTGAGTTAAAAGCAAATTAAAATATTGCATTTGAGACAATCTTAAAAGGGGGCAATGTAATTACCACATTCTCCCCTGTGCATCCTCTTTAATTCCCAGAGAGGCCCAAGAATGCACAGACGTAGCGAGAGAAGGAGCCTGCACAGCGCAGGAAAGGAAAGGCATCTTCATGGGCATGTGTCCAGCTTTGTAGGGGAAATATCTTGCTTCTGGGAAATAATCCAACAAGAAAGCCTACCATTTTAATGCAAATACTCAGAGATTCTGGCCATTACCATCCAGGTCCAGCCCTTTGCTGATCTGGAAAGAATTTGAGATAGTAGTTGCTCAAGTCCACCTTGGCTGGCTCTCATTTTGAGGTTCCCCCACCCACCACAACCCCATGACTGGAGAGGAAATCAATGCTCTATTGCTGTCACACAGCAAGAAAGGGGCAGATTCAGAAGGGAAATCAAGGCTTCTCAGGGTTCTTTTCAGGAGACCAACCCAGAGATATGAGACCATAAAGTCTATAGTATACTGGGTCTCCCTTGGAAGTAGCTGTGGCCCCTTGGAGTAACATAATGAAAACAGACAACTTTTTTTTTATTATGATTCAAGTACAATTGTCTCCATTTCCCTGCCACCACTTTCCCCTGCCCCACCCACCCCCACCTGCCACCCTCAATCTTACCCTCCTTTGGCTTTGTCCATGGGTCCTTTATCCATGTTCCTTGATGACCCTTCCCCTTCTTTCTCGTGTTATCCCTCTCCACCCTCCCTTTTGGTTATTGTCAGTTTGTTCTTTATTTCAATGCCACTGGTTACATTTTGCTTGCTTGTTTGTTTTGTTGATTAGGTTCCACTTATAGGTGAGATTATATGGTATTTGTCTTTCACTGCTTAGTCATTTCACTTAGCATAATGCTCTCCAGTTCCACCCGTGCTGTTGCGAAGGATAGAAGCTCCTTCGTTCTCTCTTCTGTGTGGTATTCCTTTGTGTAAATGTACCACAGTTTTTTGATCCACTCATTTACTGATGGACATTTAGGCTGCTTCCAGCACTTGGCTATTGTAAATAGTGCTGCTATGAACATTGGGGTGCATAGGTTCTTTTGAATTGGTGTTTCAGGATTAGAAGACAGGCAATTCTTGAGTCACAGCATCTTGAGAGTTGTTTTTGCCCTTCTGATGCTCTGTAGATGGCAGTTGAGTCATAGACTCTCTAGCCACCAATTCAACCAGAAAAACTTGCACAGAGATTGATAAATTACTACTCACCCCCACTACAATATGTTTTTCAAATCTTTTCCTAATTCCACTCTCCCTTGACTTCCAGACCACCTACCCATTTTCCAAAAGAAGCAGAAGGAAAGGATCCTGGGATTTCTTTCCTGGAAGTCATCATCACATGTGATACATGAAAAAACTGACCTGAGGCATTTTAATATCCAGCCTCATGCACTAAACATCTTCAGTGGCATTTTTTCAGAGACCAGGAAAGGAAAGCCTAAGTCCCTAGCAAGAAAATGTGGGAAAGGTATTCTAAAGTTTAAAATGCTAAAAAGAAGTGCAGGAAAGCCTTCATAAAAACTGAACTGTCAAGCTTTCTGGACAGAAAGAGAGATCTAATCATAACACGAAGTAGAGAGGGAGGCTCTGGACACTTCTGCCCCCAAGCCAGATCCTCAGGTAAGTATGCCTCTTTACTCCCCTTCAATGGTCCCCCTACCGTTCTAAGGCTTAATTACTTCTGCAGCCTCCCTAAAGCTCTAAGATAGTTACCAGATTGCCCCCAGAGGTCGAATCTCCTACTGTCACATGGTGGCTGCTTATTTATGCAACTTTTCTCCCTGAAGAAATTACAGTCTCAGAGCCCCGGAGGAAACGCTGTGTTCTGCACGCAGCAGGTGCCTAGTGTGAATCTGTGGAGTGCATACTGAATAAAATTGCTTTCCTTGTAATCCTGGCCCCAGTTCTAGCCTAGAGACCCTAGAAGTCTAAAGAGTGTGGAGAAAGAATTAGGTGGAATTATGCGGAGGCAGCTGACAGCTGGGCTGCTGTCTACTCATTTCTTAAGTCTCCATTGACCATTCAGTCCCACGGAAGCCAGGAACACCTGCGTGTCAGAGAATCAGATGTGTGATTCTCAGGATTCGTCAGAAAATATTTAAACCCCAAAGGCAGTATAAGACATAATTCCTGCTCTGAAAAAAAAAAAATGCATGCATATTTTAAGGGATGGATCCATAAACTTTGCAAGAAAAATACACAAAAGAATATGCCTTTTCAAATGAAGGAGACAAAATGTTAAGTGTGTAAAAAAATGGAGAAGGCAGAATTGATGTAATCATAGCTGATATGAAATGCTGATTAAAGGATTTATTGTTCCTAAAACTTACTCTGTGTCCCACAGGTTGCATAGAAATTCAGACACGTGTACACGTTCATTCAGAGGATACCATTAAGCGCCAGGTCCTAGGTGTGAGGAGACAGAGGAGGGGCCCCAGGCGCTAAGAGGTCATTCACTTTGCATCCCTCTGCCCCTTCCTTCAAGGAGGTTTCATCTACACTCCTTGCAACCAAGCACAGGTCCGGCTGCCTGCTGCCTTGAAAGCCAATACTCAAGAGGCAGGTACTGATGTGAAGGAAAGTGGTTTTATTTCAGATGCCAGCCACCTAGAAGATGAAGGACTCTTGTCTCAAAGCCCATCTCCTGGGAAGATGGGGGAATCTTTTTTCAGAGCCCATCTCCACCTCTCAGCGGAGGCAGAGGTTTTTATAAGGAGTGAAAGGGAACAGAACAAAAGGCTTAAGGGAGGGAGTTGCAACCTTCTCTAGATGCAGAGGAGCACAGCCCATTCCAATACGGCAAGCGATGGCCTGGTGTGTGTCATCCTGGTTTAGTCATCCTGGCTCCACGTCGTCCCAGCTTCACATCCTTCTGGCTCCACAGTTAAAGTCAGCAAATCTCCCAGAGCTGGGATGCTTGAAGGTCAGAGTCGGTTATCTTTTGAGGTTAGTTTCTAGGATTCTTATATAAACATGTTGTTTATCTACAAGCTACACATTAGGTCAGAGTCACATTTACAGGAACAATGTCGAAAGAATGGTGGGGTGGGCTCCCGTGGCCCACTGTGACACCCTGACCGTCCGTAGGCGCAAGTGTGTCTGTCTCAGCAGGCAGAGGCTGTCTTTTCCCTCTTGAAGCCTGTGGTGATCCTGCTCACTGACTTCTAGATGGTGACGAGGTGATGAGCATTTCTTCAGGAACTGTTGTTTTCTGCTGGATTTAGGCCACTGTTTTCTCACACACACACATTCACTTTTCTTCAAATTCTGTGAGTTGATGTAGGATCGCTAGCCTTTTAAATTGCCACACAAGGACTTTAAAAACTACTGTTTCTCTCATAATCATTCCTTAAACCAAAAAGGATAAAGATAGTTTTTGCATGAAATAAATTTACATTTTTTTTTCTAATTTCACTGTAAGTCACTGACCTGTACTTGGACATCGTGTCCCTAGCATGAGCGTTTCTATGATGAAAACTTCTCTCCTGGAATGCTGCGTAATGGGCTCTGAAATAGAAAATCTGGCTTATTTTTTATGGACCTTAGTATTTTATGTAAGAATAATAAAACGTAAGGATAGAATATGAAAAAGGTACCAGAAAATAGTTGTAAAAATTACCAGGAGTCAAGTTTGGGGGACGTTTTCCTTGGAAAGAACAACACAGAATGTAATGTCAATTTTAGTGACTAAATAGAAACTTTGTCCTTTTATCTTGTTCCAGGTACATGGCCATCATCCATCCCCTCCAGCCCCGGCTGTCAGCCACAGCCACCAAGGTGGTCATCTGTGTCATCTGGGTCCTGGCTCTCCTGCTGGCCTTCCCCCAGGGCTACTACTCAACCACAGAGACCTTGCCCAGCAGAGTGGTGTGCATGATTGAATGGCCAGAGCATCCCAACAAGATTTACGAGAAAGTGTGAGTAGAGACAGCTCCCCGGTGCCTTCTCTGCCCTTTCTTCTTTCTTTCTTTCCACATTCTTTATCAGTCAGGATTCAATGTGTCCAAATTATCAGGGGACTATTATGTCTCAAATACTATTTTGGACTTTGAAAGACAACTTAAAAAATAAATAAATAAGACCTGGATCCTGTTCTAGAGACCTTTTGGGCCCCCTTCATATTCTCCCTGCCTTTTACACGTGACTTTGCCCTGCAGCATCTGCATTTCTTTGCCTGGGAACTTCTTCCTAAGCTACAGAGTGCCACTCTTCCTTTTTGCACAGTGTGTGGAGGGTGGAGGAATTATCCACTATTCCCAGCAGCTCTCAAGGAAGCCTGCTGAGAGTTGGCTATGAACACCCCAGCTCACTCCCCCCACAGGTGGGACGTCTCTGAGGTTCCTCTTGGGATGAAGCTCCAGTTGTCCTGTGGCAGCCGGCTCCATGACGCACCCTCTGCTGACCACCTTCCCATCCCTGTACCACCACCCCACTCCCTACTGGTGTTTCCTTCTTCTCCCAAATAAGTCTTGCACTTGACTTACTTGCACTTGACTTTGTAATCTCAGGATCTGCCTCTGGGGAAAACCAAATCAAAATGTCTACTTCCAGGATTTTCCAGTAGGAGAAATAAGATATTCACATGTAAAGAGCACAGGAAGGCAAGGCCAGAGTGTTGAGACCTTGAGTTACAGGTTTCCTACGGGACAGGGCTGCTTATCTCCCAGGGGCCTAACTGGTGACGGTTAGGGCTTTTCCAAAGTTACCCAATGATTTTCTTCAAGAGGCAACATTGCAATAATGTCCTGTTCTTTGTTTTAGTCTGCTCAAGGGAGCATCCACATGACATTTATATTACCATGAGTTTTCTGGACTCAGAGCACTTGGGTAATGTGGGTCTTTTTGAAAGTCCTTTATAAATCTCCAATCTTGGGTTGATTGTGTGAATTTTAAAAGAATACTGGTGTTAGAATCAGAAGATCACAGTGTTAACAAGATTGCTAGTTACTAGCTATGTGGCAGGGCAACAATCGCAGTCTCTCCTCGTTATTAAACTGGCAGACGATAAAGTCCTGCTTCCCATAAACAATTGTGAAAAGCACATAAGAAAATGCCATAGAAAAAGTAAGATGCTGTTATTGAACCAAATTCATCAGCTTGCTGTATAATCATGTTAGGCCTTTAAACTTATCAAATGGTAAAATGAGACACTGTCCCTGTCGGCCCCCTACAATTAAGGTTCCAAAAGCCCTGCGGCCCCTGTCCCATGGAGCATGGAGTGAGGCTTGCCAGAGCCAATACATAAAGCTCAGACTTCACCTTCCAGATGCAGACAGCGGGATTTAATTGATCAAGTAGCAGGGGGGTTAACGCTCAGCCAAGAAAGAGACATTGAAAATTATTCTTTCAAATGAAACTACAAGCCTTAGCAGGGCCTCAGCAGGAGAAATAACATAGCTTTACAAGCCATACAGGATCTCTGAACGTGTCCAATCCAGAGGGTTCCCTCAAAACGGGGAGGGGGAACACCCTCTTAACTAAAGCTCGTTATATGAACTGTTTCAGAAATGCCATTGGTTTCATAGTTCAGTTCTTAATTGTCACGATCTTTTCATAACTTGATCACCTTCCTACAACCTTGGTTTCAAATATATACAATTCTTTTATCTTCCAACAAATTCAAAGTTTAGCTTGGAAATAAAGCTTTCTTTTCCTACAGATCTCTGGGGCTCTTGTCCAAGACATTAGTGCTTTACTTTTGACCATTTTACTGTTTTGTGCTTATTAATGACTGGAAAGGCCCTGTGAGACTCAACTCCACCTGTTGGTCTGTCTTTTTTCCTTGCTTTCAGAATTTAAGGTCACTGCTACTGCATGCATGGTTAGGTTTGCCATCAATGTTTATTTCATGATTTTTATCCTAAAAAATAGGCCTGGATAAGAGCATTTGACTTCTTCTATTCAAGATGTATAAAACGTTTATGGATGCAATAGTAAGTTGAAAGAATCCATATTTGCCATTCACATATGGGCTGTGATGGAGACATAAGTCAAGTGCATAGGGTGCTTCCGGTAAACCTATTTTGTCTGTGTCAGTACCCTTCATAATCATTATGGTATATTTTTAAGTAATTTAAATTTTACCAGCTATAAACTAGGTACTTAATGTTACTCTCTTCTGTTAGAAATGATTGCCATTTCCACAGGACACATTAATCCCAAATTTGAAGCCAGAAAGAAACTTTGTTCTGAGGCAGCATTACAATGAGTATAGGAACATGAGCTCTGTAGTTAACTTTAAGCCAGATCACTCTCTAGTTGAGTCATAATGGTTATTTAAGCCTCTAAACCTAATAGAGATATTGAGAAAAATAAATAAGTTGTATGCTTAGCCCAGGACCATGCACATGGTAAGAATATGGTGAACATCAACTACTGTCCTTAGCATCATCCATCGCTCTGGGTGCAGGGGCAGATGGCTGGCATTAGATGGAGTGGTGGGCAGATGCTTAGGCCCTATTTATATGATTAATAATTTGTGCCAGCTAATTACATAAATTAATATTATCTGAAAAATCTTAAGTGTTGCATTTGCCCTCTCTGGCTGCATGGTGAACCTCCAACCATAATTATTCATCATTTAGGCTCCGATTAATACATGGATCAAATTAAACACTGCTCAAGAAAGGCAATCCAATAAAAGAACAAGCAAAAGTTTTGAATATGCACTTCACAAAAGGAAATATCCAAATGACCAATTCATATATGAGGAGACACAAAACTTCATTCATCACCAGTAAAATGCAAGTTAAAACCATGAGATCTTACTGTATACCTATTAGGCTAGCAAATGTTAAGAAGCCTGACTAAACTAAGCATTTAGAACTTTTGGTGAAGGTAAGGAAAAACAAAAACCTTTGTAGACTGCTAGAAGAAGTGTTGGAATAATGTGGGGCATAAAACCACGTTGGAAAACATTTTGTACTATCTAGAAAAGAAGAAGTTATTTATACCCTATAACCTCCCAATTACACTCAGGAGTAATTACCTGAGAAAAACCCATGCATATATGCACCCAGATATACCTAGCATACTGTTCATATGATCAGCATTGTTCTTAATGCCCCAAACTGGAACTATTCCAAATGCCCATCCTCAGTAGGGTAGATTTAAAAAAAATTGTGGTACAAGCATGTAATGGAATATGATATAGTTAATAGAATAAACAAAGGTAGCTCCATGCAACATGGATGGCTCTTATAAACAAAGTTTTAAAATAGGCAAAACGAAAGCGTATCTTTTTTTTATTTTTTTTAATATTTTACTTACTTATTTTTAGACAGTGGAGAAGGGAGGGAGAAAGAGAGGGAGAGAAACATCAATGTGTGGTTGCCTCTCGCACAGCCCCCACGGGGACCTGGCCTGCAATGAAGGCGTGTGCGCTGACTGGGAATCAAACCAGCAACCCTCTGGTTCTCAGGCCGGTGCTCAGTCCACAGAGCCACACCAGCCAGGGTGAAAACCTATCTTTAAAAGTGCATAAGTAGGTGGTAAAACTATAAATGCAAAGTCATCACATGAAAATGAGGACTATGATTGTCTCTGGTGGGAGGGAAATGGTGTGACCAAGAAAGGACACTAAGAAGTGTTTCTGAGGGATGGCATTGTATTTCTTAAGTTCAGTGGTAGTAGCATGAGTGTTTGCCTAAAGTTTACTTATCACACCAGGTAATTTGATTTATGCACTTTTTCTGGAGTGTCTGTTTCATATTATTTAACCTTAAAAATTAAATGCAATTCAAAGAATTTTGTTTTTACAAGCTCTCTGAAAACTGCCTTCATTGAGATAACCCCAAATGTTTCTCCATAAGAAATTATCTTCGGTGAGGCTTCGCCTAGAATGACATTATTCATAAGTACCTACCTCTGAATAAGACGAAGCATGGACAGGCCCCTCCCATTCTCATGTTCATTTGACCTCCGCATTTTTGCCTTGCTGACTCCTGTGTGTCAGCCACCTGGAATTTTTCAAACTGTTCTAAGGGGTTTAGGACAAATGCTTTTCCCTGGAGGGATATGACAGACGTTAACCAAAGAATGAGGCCCAGGCAGTCTCCACAGCCCTCATCCCTTGCCGCTATATTCATAAGCATGCACCTCTGAGCTACAAAATGCTACAGACAAACTTGGTTCATAGTCTTGTAAAAATATTTAAAACTTTATTTTGCATTTAAAACTATGAACTATAGAGTATAGTGAAAATTAATATAATTTTTAAAATCACCTATATTTCCATTTTTATGAAAGGTTCTAACATTTTGATGAATATCCTTCCAGTTTCGTTATTCCATCTCCAGGGAAATATTGTTCTTAGTGTCTTTTAAAGTGTTTCATATGCATACAGAGCAACACTGATATAGATTGTTTCCCTCTTTGTAACACAAGACATTGCATATTGTATACATTGTTCTGGACCCTGTTTTTTTAACTTAATACATCTTAGAGATCTTTCCATATCCGTTTGTAAAGAGCTTCTCTGTTCTTTATTTCAGCTACACAGTACTCCATGTTGTAAATGTACAAAAACCAGTTACTTTGGGTGGACTTTGGTTTGGCGCAAGCCTTTTGCTATTGCAGAGTGCTGCCGTGAATGACTGTTACATATATCGTGCAAAGTTATCTGTAGCATAAAACTCCCCCAAAATGGAATTCATGAATCTAAGATTTTAATTTTAATATTTGCCTTTCATATGGGATTGTACTAATTTACATTCCCACTAACAATGTGTGAGAGTCCTTATTTCTCCACAGCCTCATCATCAGAGCATATTGTCAAGCTTTTAGATGTTGGCCCATTGTCATTAAAATTTGCATTTCTCTTATTAGGAATGGGTTTGAACACTTTTTCATAATTTAAGAAACATTTGTCTATATATCTTATAATCTACTTATTTCATTTACCGTATGATAAACAATT